CCAAGTACCAGGAAATTAATATTCTTTTTTTGGCATTTTTTAAAAAAACTCAGATCATTTTAGATTGTAGACTTCTCATTGATAGTTGGGGCCACCCTTTGGGGTCTGGCTTTCTGCTGTTCATGGCCTTTTAAAATGTGAACTCAAGGCCCTAAATTTGTAATTAGTTTACATTTTCTCGCTACTTTTTTTTCCTTCTCAATAATATAACTCATAATAGACAAGTCAGATTTCATTTTTAAAACCTACCAACCTTCATTGTTGCCATCTTTTTTTCTTCATATTTGCTTTTAAAGAATTTCTGAAAGTTGCTTTTCTGTTATCTAGAACTGCTTTAATATGGTAACCCCTAACTTTATGTATCTATAGTAAAAGGTTTAAACAGGCACTTCTCCAAGAAGATATGGTACTGGTCAATAAGCACATGAAAGATGTTCAAAATCATTATCCATTAAGGATATGTAAGTTAAAGCAATGTAAGATAATACATATACCAATTAGATTGGCTAAAATAGAAAATACCAAATACTAACAAGAATATAGAAGCCACCATGTTCCTCATACATTTAGTGAGAATGTAAAATGATTCAGTGACTCTGGTAAGCAGTTTGGTAGTTTCTTACAAAGTTAGAGATATATTTATCATAAAATCCAGCAATCATACCTATAGGTATTTACTCTAGAAAAATGGAAACAGAATTCACGCAAAAACCCATGCAATAATGGCCCAAATTGGATATAACATTTAAAGACCCTTTAATGGATGAATGGGTAAACAAATAGTGGAATGTATGTTTCTGTGTGCATATATATGTGTGTATGGGTGTGTGTATATATATATATACACACACACACACAAAACACAGCACTACTCATTAGTAAAAATGGATGAACAATTGATATGCCTGACAGTGTGAAATATTGAGAGAAATCAGTCTTAAAAGGTTACATACTATATGATTCCATAGAAAATATTTTAGGAATGGGGTTGTGGCTCAGTAGTAGAGCACTTGCCTAGTATGTACAAGGCCCTGGTTTCAATCCCCAGTACTGAAAAAAAAATTTTCTTTCAATAACAAGTTATAGCAATGGAGAACTGATCAGTGTTTGCGAGAAGTTCTGGTTGGAGTGAATGTGTAACTTCAAAAGGGTTGTATGGGGCCTTTGGAGGGATGATGGAACAGTTTTATATTCTGATTATAATAATAATTGTTATAAAAAGTGAGAGGAAAGAATGAGTGAGTAGATGGAAAATTATTGAAAAAAATAAGTTCTCTGGTTAATAGTACTAATACCAGTTTTTTTATTTTGATCATTGTATTGCATTGATGTAGAATGTTATCACTGGAGGAAACTGGGGAAAGGGTTCACAGGAACTGGACTATTTTTGCAACTTCTGCATTAGTCTCAAATGATTTCACAATTTAGTTGGACATGGTAGCACACACCTATTATCCCAGTAGTTCAGTAGGTTTTAGGCAGAAGGATCACTAGCAATTTAGTGAGACCCTGTCTCAAAATTAAAAGAAAAAAAAACTATTGGGGATTAACTCAGTGGTAAAGTGCCCCTGGGTTCAAATTGAAGTAGTCCCCCCCCACACACACACACCAAGAAAAAGATTTTATAATTTAAAGCTTTTTTCTAAACAATAAATAAAATTCAGTTCTTAAGTTGCCCTAAGCACATTAAAAATGACCCCATGTGGCTAATAATAGCCATATAGGGTAGTGTAGATGAATATTTCCATCAACTCAGGAAGTTTTATTGGACAGTGTATGTTCTCTGTTCTTTGACTATTTCACATTCCAATATAATCGAATGCTTTCTTGTACTTTCTATTATGATACCTTATTAACCAGTTGTTTTGGATTAGGAAAATATTTCACCTCTTTACTTTCTGAAATTTCAGAGGAAAAAAACCCTGTTTTATGTCAGTTTAGGAATTTATCAGATAGTGATAGATAATTGGATATTTAAATTTTTCCACACTCACGTATTTTGCCTCTGGACCAATTTTATCAACCATATTAGGAAGTAATCCTAATATCTCATATAGTTACCCTACAATACTTTCTTGACATTTATCATTTGTGTTTATTTTCTCTTTTATCCTTACCCAAAAGCTCTTCAAAATTTTTATATTTCTAAAAAAGGTGCTCTATATGTGAAGTAAGAATTGTAATGCATTCTGCTGTCATATATAAATTTTTTATAAGGTGCTATTTCTTCCCTGTGTTCTGGATATAAACCTTTTGAAAATGTAATTCCTTCATTGCCATGTTCTCATCTTTTGTTCCATTAGACTTTTTCCTCTTTGTCTTCTTTGTATTTTCACTTCAGAATTACTAGGTACCTCCTTTATTATGGAACTTCTTTCTGCTTCAGTTTCATCCATCCTGAATATATCTAGTTTTTTATAATCTACTACTTGAGATATAAAGACAAGGAAATGGAGGAATGAATAATAGTTCAAGATACACTCACATAACAACAGAGTTAAGACACTAAGAAACAGATGAATAGTGTGTGACCCAGCTGAAGAAAACTGCAGAGAGAGAGAAATTAATCTAAACAAATATTAGATTAAGATTTATATCTTCCTGGATAGAAAATCTGAATATTATGTCAGTGTTCTTCAAATAATCCATAAGTTTATTGCAATTGTAATCAAATTGATAATTCAGCAATTCATATGGAAGATCATGGAAGAACATTTAGAGGGTTAAAAAGAACCATAATTAGGGAAATGGGGAACGTTGCCAGGGGTAATAGAACTTAAAAAAGTAACAGTAATGTAGTAGTGTAGTACTGGCATAAAAACAGTTATCGTTGGATCCAAGGAACCAGCAATTGTATTTTAACCAGTATAAGAATTCAACACAAGAAAAGATTATTCATGAATTATTTGTATTTATTGTTTCTGTAACTCACAAGTCCCCAATATGTATATGTGTAAAGGTCAAGAATAGATAGTTTACCAAAGAATAAAAAAAGCAAAATAAAATTTTCTAGGATTAAAGAAGTAAAATATAAAAATAATGGAGTTGAGTTTCTCATTATTAAATACGTAAAGATTTCTTATTGTTAAAATATGCTGGTAATGGTGCAATGAAACTTATACTCTATTTCATTGCTTTCATTGTCCGCTTCCTATCATTGCTTTATTGCACCATTCTTGATTCGACGGTGTGGCACATTCTATCCTTGAGCAAATCGTGTTGGCTGTATCTTTGAAATAATACAGTATCCGAACATCTCCACGGTTAGCTATCCTGGTCCAAGCCCCTCAGCCTTCTTTTTTTTTTTTTTCCAGTTGTAGTTGGACACAATATATTTATTTTATTTATTTATTTTTATGTGGTGTTGAGGATGGAACCCAGCGCCTCACATGTGCTAGGCAAGCACTCTACTGCTGAGCCATAGCCCCGGCCCCCAACCTACTTGTCTGGATCATTGCAGTAGTACCTAATTTGTTTCCCTCCTTCTTATCTTACATCTCTGCATCTTTGAACACACAGCCAAAATTCACCAACTTAAAATGTGAGTGATCATGTCATTCCTCTGTTCAGTTAGCCATCAGTTGTTTCCTGGTTCTCTCAGAGCTCAGGCCAATTTCATTATAATGATCTACAGACCCTGCATAATATAGACTTCCACCTTTCATGTCTTATGCCCCACACTGCCCCCCTTGCTTTCTCAGCTCCTACCACTTTAGTCTCCTTCTAGTAAATAAAGCATGCTCCCACCTCAGTGCCTTTGTACTTATGATTATTCTGCCTAAAGTGGATTTATCTAATAACACTTCCTTGACCTGCTCCCTGTCTTCTTTCAAGTCTCTATTCAAGAGGTCTTTGAGGTCTTCCTTTTCTTTATAAAACAGCACCTTCCAACTTTATCTTTCCCTCCTTCATTTTTCTCCATAACATATATCAGCATAAATAAGTTATATGCCTATTTACGTGTTATTTTTCTTTTTCCAACTAGATTGTCAGCTCCATAAAAGCAGGGACTTTGTTTTAGTCACTGCTGTATTACTTAGAGCCTGGCATATAGTAGGCACTTGGTATTTATTTATTGAATGGTTACACTGATAGAATCTTTATGGAAAGCAACTATAACATGTTCTGAAAGCCATGTTTTTTAATGTAGGAGAATGATTAAGTAAATTGTGTCCACTTAATGAAGAGAGAAAAATATCTGCATTGAACAGGGTCTAGGAGGTTTGGATTAAGAACAGTAATGAAGGCTGTTATTCTCTAAAGAAAAACAATAAAATAATTTCCAAGTACAAAGGAAGTTTCAGCACTRTGTATTGGCAGTCTTTGATCAGACTAGGTCAATGGAAGCAAAAGGTTACTGCAGGGGAAAAATAGAAAATAAAGTTAGGTGGATGGGAACAGATGTTGAAGGTTTTGAAAGTAAATCAAAAGAGATAGAACCTGCTAGATTCAATGGCACACGCCTATAATTCCAGCGACTAGGGAGGTTAAGGCAGGAGGATCACAAGTTCAAGGCCAGCTTCAGCAACTCTGCAAGGTGCTAAGCAACTCAGTGAGATCCTGTCTCTAAATAAAATACAAAATAGGACTGGGGATGTGGCTCAGTGGTTGAGTGCCCCTGAGTTCAATCCCTGGTATCCCGACCCACCCCACCAAAAAGAATTTCCACAATAGTAATCAATGTATGAATTGTTGAGCTTTGAAAGACAGGAAAGCTATCCAAAGCAAAGGTTAGTGACATATAAGGGAGCCAAGAGAGTGGGATAAGGAATATCAACTGGGAGGCAGACACAACAAGGCAGAGTTGAGGTATTACTATTCTAGGTTGTAAGGAGGGTAGAGTGTGACAAAACAAAGGCCTATACTGAATCAGCAATCAGTGATGTGGAAGAGAATAGGGGTTAGTGATTAACTGCATGCAGGATGCAAATAAAGAAGAAATAAATGCTTTATATTAGGAAATCATATTTCCTTTTAATTGTTTTCTTCTTTTATTATAGGTTTCTCTATACAGAAAATGGATTTTTTAAACCTTTGGAAAACTCAATTATCACAATACTTCTATACTACCAACTAAGATTTATGGCAGTAAATTTATGACAATAAATTTCCTCATTATAGAACTGCTGAAGAACTAAAAAAGGACATTCTTTCATAAAAATATTATGGTATCATATTACTAAATAAAACTAAAAAGCACATTATTAAATTATTAGACTTGTTAATACAAGTACACAGCTTGTATTAATGTGCAACAGCTACTGACACTGATGGTTACCAAACCTCAAGTTTAAAGGGTTTCTCTTCATGGGAAAAATTGTATAGTGGCAAGAAACCACTAAACATTCTCATTAAATATATTTTCAGCTAAGTGTCATTTGGGAGAATTTTCTTGAACCAAGTTCTAGAACGTTCCAAGTCCCACCACTAAGTGGATTTGGTATTATGGCAGCAACTTACAGACTTGTGGTTAGTACTGTGAACCACTACAGCAGCGTGGTGATAGACCGACGTTTCGAACAAGCTATACATTATTGCACTGGAACCTGCCACACCTTCACACATGGAATTGACTGCATTGTGGTACACCATAGCGTTTGTGCAGACCTTTTGCATATCCCTGTGTCTCAATTCAAAGATGCAGATCTGAACTCTGTATTTCTACCCCATGAAAATGGGCTTTCTTCTACTGAAGGTGACTATCCACATCAGGTCCTCCCAGGCATACCGAGAGTCAAGAAAGTATCCACATTTCAGAATACCTGTAATTTAAAGGACATTGCTGGAGAAGCAATCAGTTTTGCCAGTGGAAAAATAAAAGAATTTTCCCTTGAAAAACTCAAAAACTCTAACCATGCAACTTACAAAAAGGGAAGGAAAGTTAAGTCTGACTCATTTAACAGGAGGTCAGTTGACTTTGACTTGCTCTGTGGTCATTATAACAATGATGGGACCTCCCCATCCTTGGGTTTACTTCGGAGTTCCTCAGTTGAGGAAAAATCTTTATCCCATAGAAACTCACTTGATGCAAACCTGACTTCCATGTTCTTTCAGAACTTCTCTGAAGAAGATCTTGTTACTCAGATTTTGGAAAAACATAAAATAGATTCTTTTTCTTCTGGGACTGACATAAAAATGTGCTTGGACATCTTACTGAAATGCTCTGAGGATTTGAAAAAATGCACAGATATCATAAAACAGTGCATAAAGAAAAAGTCAGGAGGTAACATTAATGAAGGAAGTAGTAATGATGCAATTTCTAGCTCCGAAACTGTCTATATGAATGTAATGACCAGGTTAGCATCCTATCTGAAAAAGTTACCATTTGAATTCATGCAGTCTGGGAATAACGAGGCCATAGATTTCACAGAACTGGTTAATAATATGCCTACCTTACAACTGACTCCCTTTTCCCCAATATATGGCTCTGAACAGCCCCCTAAATATGAAGATGTTGTCCAGCTCTCAACCCCTGATTCTTCACAGTTTCAAACTCTCGAATTGCAAGATGACAAGCATAATTCTAGGATAACAGACAGTATAAAAGCCATTCCAAACACAAATTCCTTATATAGCTTGGAAGTAAATGATCCCAGAACTATAAAAACTGTCCAGCTTCAATCACTGCCATTAACCATGAACCCTTTAGAGAATGTTTCTTCTGGTGACTTAATGGAAACTCTTTATATTGAAGAAGAGTCAGATGGAAAGAAGGCATTATTAGATAAAGGACAAAGGACAGAGAATGGTCCCGATCAGGAATTATTAAAGGTAAATGAACATAGAGCAGAATTTTTAGACAATGGTACTCATCTTCAAAAATGTCCTGCAGCAATGCAAAATGAAATTGGTAAGATATTTGAGAAACCAATTGCTCATCTACCTGAGGAAGATCCTGAATCAAAAGTTCCTAAAGTGGAAGCAGGAGACCAGAGAGATTTTATGAACCCTAACAGTCAGGAAGAGATAGATAAATTGTTAATGGATTTGGAATCATTTTCACAGAAAATGGAGACGTCTTTAAGACAGCCACTTGCCAAAGGTAAAAACTCCAATTCTCAAAATATTCACAGTCATTTAACTGGTCAAATCCCTGTAGATCTTGAGCCTAAATCTAAAGTGTCTTCACCTGTGGAAAAAGTTTCACCTTCCTGTCTAACAAAGATTATTGAAAACAATGGACACAAAATAGAGGAAGAGGATCGAGCCCTCTTACTGCGAATCCTGGAAAGCATTGAAGACTTTGCTCAAGAACTAGTTGAATGCAAATCAGGCAGAGGAAGTCTATCACAAGAAAAGGAAATGATGCAAATTCTACAGGAGACCTTGACGAGTTCCTCTCAAGCCAATTTATCAGTCTGTAGAAGTCCTGTTGGTGATAAAGCCAAAGATACAACTTCAGTGGTTCTGATTCAGCAGACGCCAGAAGTGATCAAGGTAAGGACCTAACAATCTTGAGTGCTGAGAAGTCTCCAAAGAAGTGTGTTAATGTTTGCACATTTTATAAACAAAAACTATTTTTGTTAACTGCTTCATTTTCTATATTAAAAATCATCTCACCTACATTCAGTAAGTAAAATGCAAAGGCTTTATAGTCAAGCTGTCTGGCTTCAGCTGCCTTCTTTATACCCTTCATCTTCTTTGATACAAATCCGTGACCAAAGAAAGCTACTTAACCTTTATATCTTATTGTGTACAGTGGAAATAGGATCAAGACAATGTATGTTAAGCACAAGCATTGCAGCACAATTCTTATTCAAGTTGGCTAACAGTACTCATCCTTCTCAGGCAACCAAGAGATCAGTACTTATTTCATGCTTTTGTAGACTCTTATAAGGTGTACGGTAGGGTACAAGAGAGGACATGACTCTTAAAGAACTTAAAATCTGGTTGGGGAGACAAAACTAACATTCCTAAAATAATACATGAGCTTGTATCTGAAAATATGCATCTGTTGTTAATGCAACAGATCTTCAAAAAAGGTCAAGGCTAGAGTATATGAAATTTGCTTCTCCATGCAAGTGATAATAAATAAATATTACTCTGGAATCACAGAAGTATTTTCAAAAGATTTTTAATCTATCTTCCTACTTATAGCCCAGAAAAGCGATTATCTGCCCACTTATATGTATGTTTCTTAAGGCAACAAGATTATTCCTTGTTCATTTCACAAGTCTATAGGTTAGCAGGGGGCTCTTTGTCACCTCGTTCAAGGACCCAGGCTGATAGAAGATCCATGTTCTTACTGTTTCTCCATTTCCCTATCTGGAATATGTGACTTATGAGTTCACTGGAGCATGGGGAAGAAAGGGATGGGTTTTTAACTATCTCATCCCCTGACACAGCACTGTTCACTTCAAATCATACTCCAGGTCTTCCAACCTAAAACCTGTGAAACATACAGAAACACTTAGACTATTTGGTAAGCATTATCTCTATCACATGTTGGCATGTGTGGATTCAGACATAAAGCCAAATCAACAAAATCAAATTGTAAAATAATATGAATTATTTTGAGGTGTGCATTTGTGTAAGAAATATAAACACATGGATACGCCAAATACAATGTTTTTTTAAAATTTTTTTATTAGTTGCTCATGACAATACAATAATCTTGACATATCATACATTTGATTCAAATGGGGTATGAATTCTCATTTTTCTATGTGTACAGGTTGCAGGATCACATTGGTTATACTGCCACGTATATACATACAGCAATACTAGTGTCTATTGAAATACAATGTTTAAAACAGTGGTTAAACCTGGGTGAGGAAAAGATGCAACAAAAGAAGGGTGTGTCAGGGGGCCTCAGAAGTGTGATGTTCTCATTCATAATCTGGGTGGCATATCCCTAAGTATTTTGTTGTAATATTTATGCCTTTTTATATATTCTTTAATGTTGCATGGTAAATTTTTAAAACTTGAGTATTAGACGTAGCATATATGTGACCAAATTAAAAATCCAATTATATATTATTTTAGCCTTCTCTTTAAAATTTTTATTTGATCAGAAAAAAGGGCATATTATGATCAGATAGATCACTTTTACTCAGTATGTTTTGTGTGTATTTTTAGTTGGCCAGTGACATTTAAGTTTAAAACAATACATACCTTAGATTGTTAAATGGTGATTTGGGTCTGAATWTCCTCAGACATTCACTGTAAAATCTCTGTAAAATCTCTATGTGAGTCTCATTTGTGTTTTCACAAATTTTTTTAAATATTTTTTTTAGTTGTAGTTGGACACAATACCTTTATTTTATTTATTTATTTATTTTTTATATGGTGCTGAGGATAGAACCCCGTGCCTTGCACACGCTAGGCAAGCGCTCTACTACTGAGCCACAACCCTAGCCCCATAAATTTTAATCTCTTTAATTAACTTGAATCATCACAGAAAGCAAAACTGTAGGAATTAATTATAAACATTATGAAAAAATATTTTCATATTCACAGAAAATACTAATATGGTTAATATTTTATAAAGGAAAGAAAATACCTATATAGCAATCCCCAAATGATAATAATGTCCTGAGAGCTACCAGTTGTTGTGAGCTAAAGCATGCTAAGACATGTAGATATATTATCTCACTAATTTCCCTAAAATAATCTTGTCCATTAAAATAAAAATGTCTACTTCTTTGAGTGACCTATTTCATAACTTTATAATCATTATCCAGAAGCTTCTATTGTGATACAGCATTTTGAATTTTATTCAACCCTCTTCCTCCATTATCCCCTGTGAAAAAACAAGATAGCTGGGGAGTAGGTCCCTTTGATATCCCCAGTCTAAGTATACTAAAAATGCTGCACTGAGATCTACATGAGCTTCCCAGTTTTTTACAACTACAGACTGAAATCAGAATCTGATGAATACACTGTCTTTCAATATTCTTTTAAGTGAATTCCAGTATAATAGAAAAAAATTTGAAAAGATTTCTGCTTGATAAAAATTGAAAAAATTATTAATGAAAGCTAATATTAAAGAGAAAGGTAATATAAGATGTTTCATTCAGGCAGATGCTTAATGCAAAAAGGCAAACCATTCTTCCAAGGTGAATTCAGTCGCCAATCCTTTTTCTTTTAATCTTCTCTTCTCATGAAATGTTTTAAATCAGTAGTTGGCAGATTTTTTCTGTGAAAKTATTTTAAATATTTTAGTAAATATTTTAGTCTTTGTGTGCAGCAAGTCTTCTTTGAATTTTTTCTTTCTTTTTTTTTCTTTTTAACAATTCTTTAAAAATATAAAACTGTCCTTAGCTCCAAGACTTAACAGAAACAGGCAGTGGGCCAGATTTGGCTCATGGACTGTAGTTTGTCAACATTTGTTTTAAGCAAATGGAAAACTGTGATGAATCATATGAAAAGTACTCTTGTCACCTACCACATAGTTTTATCCAATCTTAATGTTTTGCCATATTTGTTTCAGATCTCAGCTTTAGTGTTTTCATTATCATTAGCATTACAGTCTTAAAAAATAATCTCATACATAGTTGAAATCACTAGGGTACCCCTCAGTACTGTTCTTTTTCCAGAAGTAGCTACTATCCTTAAGTTGTTGATCTACCAGTTTTTGTACAATATTGTCTTTCATGTTTTTTATTCTTTTAGAGTGTGATCAAAGAATAACAAGAAATAAAACAGAAGAGGTAAATTGAGGCCAATTTATGAATGACCTTGTATGCTATGCCAAAGAATTTGTCTTTAAGGAAAGTGGGAAGCCAAAGAAGACTTTTAAGCAAAACATTCTCTCAGTATGATATATTTTTAAAGGATAGCCAATTTTAAACTAAGGCTTATTTTCTCTTTTTGAATAGCTGTAAATTTGCCAGTTGTTCAAACATTTTAATTAATAGGGCATGCAAGCAGTACTTTTTAATTTTATTTTAATTTTTTTAGTTATAGTTAGACACAATACCTTTATTTCACTTATTTATTTTTATGACATAAATGGTGCTGAGGATCAAACCCAAGGTCCCACATATGCAAGGTGAGCACTCTGTCACTGAGCCACAACCCCAGCCCCTATTTTTTTTTTTTTTTAGTTGTCAGTGGACCTTTAATTATTTATATAAGGTGCTGAGAATTGAACCCAGTGCCTCACACATGCTAAGCAAACACTGTACCATTGTGCTATGACCCCATCCCTACAGGCAGTACTTTCAAATGACATTGATGATTATCCCTAAGAAAAAAGGTTGCTATGAGAGTATTATATGTTATTAATAATTTAACAGGTATTTCAAAGTAATTTCCCAAGAGTAAAAAGTATTTGTTGTCCATATATAATTGAAATTCAAACTTGTGTTGGGAAAGGGATCCAAACAGAAAATTCTAGGAAGATTCTGAGAAATCACAAAAAGAATATTGGTCTGGATCAAAGATCAGCAGTATAGGCCTATGGACCAAATCCAGACTGCTGCTGACAGGTCCACAGCACACCTACTCGTTAACATCAGATCTGTGGCCGCTTTTATGTTCTATCTGCAGAATTGAGTAGGAACAACAGAGACCCCAAAGTCTAAAATTATTATATCTAGTCATTTATATCAAAAGTTTGCTGACTCCTGTTCTAAATATTCCCCCATAGATCAGCAAAGCAGACTTTTGATAAAACTACTTTGTTAAATGCATTGGAAATCTTGGAAATATCACTGAAGTTTAATAGCAAAAAAAAAATAATAATTCAAACAGTAATCCAATAAACATGAAAAAGGTAAATAGACAGGCAAGGTGACACACACGTATAAACCCAGATACTAGGAAGACTAAAGCATGAGGATAATAAATTCCAGTCCAGCCTCAACAACTTAGGGAGACCCTGTCTCAAAAATTTTTAAAAATGGGGGAGTGGAAAGATATACTTACTGGTAAAGCACTCCTAGGTTCAATTCCCAGTCCTGCAAAAATTAAAAAAAAAAAAAAGGTAAATAAAACTAGGTGCTTAGGTATATACCTGTACATCTCAGTATTTTAGTCAACTTTTTCACTGCTATGACCAAAAAACCTGACAAGAACAATTTTAGAGGAGGAAGTTTGTTGCTTACAGTTTCAGAGGTCTCATAGATGGTGAACCCCATAGCTCTGTGCCCAATGTGAAGCAGAACATCATAGCAGAAGGGTGTGGAGAAGACAACCAGCTCAGGATACCACCACAAAGTAGAAGAGTGACTTCTCTCACCAAGTACAAAATAAGTACCCCAAAGGCATGTTGCAATGACCTCCCTCCTCCAGCCACATTCTACTTGTCTAGGGTTACCACCCAGTTAATTCCTATGGGGGCATTAATGCACTGATATGATTAAAACTCTTCTAATCCAATTATTTCTCCTCTAAACTTTCTTACATTGTCTCACACATGAGTTTTTGGATGACACCTAATATTTAAACCATAATACCCAGCAACTCTGGAGGCTGAAGCAGGAGACCACTTT